AAAAGAAAATTAGGGCGCCTGGGTGGCTTAGTTGGTTAAGCGACTACCTTCGGCTCAGGTCATTATCCTGGAGACCCCAGATCGAGTCCCACATCGGGCTCCCTGCTCGATGAGGAGTCTGCTTCTCCCTCTGACCCTCTTCCCTCTCGTGCTCTCTATCTCTCATTCTCTCTCTCTCTCAAATAAATAAATAAAATCTTAAAAAAAAAAGAAAATTACGATGCAGTGTGCTTTCAAAGAGGAATATATGGTGGTATGAGAGCACGGACAAGAAGGCTGCACTCTGTTTCAGAGAATCAGGTAAGGCTTCCAAGAAGGGATGACACTGGGTGGGTGAGTAGGAGCTAAATGAACAAACACAGTGGGAAGAGGGCTTTCGTTTACAGGGACTTGTGTGCGCAAAGGCATCAAGGTGTAAGAGGACTTGTTGGAAGAAGGAAAAAGCAAAGTTTGAGAGGGAAGAAGAAAGGATGACTACAACTGTAGAGAAGTATATAAGCAGCAAATAGAAAGAAGGGGAAATTGAGGGAGCTTTTTCCTGAGAACACTCATTTCTTTTTCACAAAGAAGCAAGCTTTGTCAGGGCGCCTGGGTGGTTCAGTCGGTTAAGCGTCTGCCTTTGGCTTGGGTCATGATCTCAGGGGATCTAGTCTCATGTCAGGTCAGGCTCCCTGTTCAGTGGCGAGTCTGCTTCTCCCTCTGCCTGCACCCTCTCTCTTGCAAAAATAAATAAAATCTTTATTTTTATTTTTTGTTATTTTTATTTATTTATTTGACAGAGAGAGACATGGTGAGAGAGGGAACACAAGCAGGGGGAGTGGGAGAGGGAGAAGCAGGCTTCCTGCTAAGCAGAGCCCTACGCGGGGCTCAGTCTTAGGACCCTGGGATCATGACCTGAGCCGAAGGCAGACGGCTAACGACTGAGCCACCCAGGCGCCCCAAAATAAATAAAATCTTTAAAAAAAAAAAAAAGCAAGCTTTGTCATCCAAGATGAAGGGACAAGAATGGAAAAGGGGACTTAAGGAAACTAACCATGCTCATGTAGAATTACTAAGCAGTACTGAGAGACCATCTGTGAGAAGCAGTAACATAGCTGTTGAAAGTTCTCTCCACCCATTTAGCTTCTTGTCTCCTCTTGATAGAAATTTCTAATTGGTGTACCTTCTGTGGAAGCACCAATCTTTCTACAGTCCAATATTCTCCTTGATATTTTTATAACTTCCATATTTTACGTTCAAAAATATCTTTGAGCACCCACTGTGTAGCTCGTTGCTACACAGTTAAATACAGTGTCTGCCCTTAAGGAGCTTAGTGACGGGTAATAGATGAGAGATTGAAGGGAAATATAAAAGGTGAATAATAATGGCACTAACGGCACAATATGAAACGTACATTAGGGAGGCGTTAAGTATAGTATTTGCAAGTTCAGAGTCCTAGCCCTGTTTGATATCATCAGGGCACATCTGCATAGAACATAGGATTCTTTTAAGACCCTGAAGAACCACCAATAACATAGGATCACCTGGAAAATCCAGAGCCATTCCATTAAAAAGAGTGGCATTGAACTGTAAGCATTACATAGACAACTGAACTCTAGCTTTTTCATCCAATTGAGATCACTTTATTGCTTTACCCCTTCAGCTGCCTGCAGAAAGCAACCTAGCCTTCTGACTTATTTTTTTTATTAATATTCCAGTTAGTTAACATACTGTGTAATATTAGTTTTTGGTGTACAATTTAGTGGTTCAACACGTCCATACATCACCCGGTGCTCATTACAAGTGCCCTCCTTAATCCCCATCCCCCTATTTAAGCCATTCCCCACCTCTCCCCTCTGGTAACCATCAGTTTGTTCTCTATAGTTAAGAGTCTGTTTCTTGGTTTGCCTCTCTTTTTTTCTGCTATGATCATTTGTTTTGTTTCTTAAATTCCACGTATGAGTGAAATCATATGGTATTTGTCTTTCTCTGAGTGACTTATTTTGCTTAGCATAATACTCTCTAGCTCCATACACGTCATTGCAAATGGCACTATTAGGTATTTACCCAAAGGATACAAAATACTAATTTGAGGGGATTCATGCATCCCGATGTTTATAGCAGCATTATCAGCAATAGCCAAATTATAGAAAGAGTGCAAATGTCCATCAACTGATAAATGGATAAAGATGTAGTATATGGCCTTCTGACTTCTTAACTGCTGTCAGTCTCAACTGCCAAGCTACTACTTTCTTGATAGTGGTTCACTCCAAAACTAACTTTCTGTGTTTGTTTCAACGTTGGACCTGCTGAATCTTAACCAATCCTATCCAGCCCCAGCCAGGGATCTTCTGGTCCTAACTCCCGAGCCATTTAACCAAGCAGCAGTTTATAAGCAGACTCCTGCTGTTTTCAGCAGACTCCTTTACCAGAGAGCTTCTTATCCCCACCACCCTACCATCTATTTAACCTCACGCGTCAGTTATATCCTTACTACACCCTGCCTCATACTTAGAGTAACCAGAATCCTGAACAGCTTCAAGGAACAAGCAGAATTTAAACTGACTTGTAACCATATTCTCCCAGAGGTGAGGTTATTAGGCTATGTCACAGTTTATTTTGATCAAGTATAACCTCTTAGTTTATTTTTTTATTAAATTTCTCTTTTTTAAGGATTTTATTTATTTATTTGACAGAGAGAGAGAGATAGCAAGAGAGAGAACACAAGCAGGGGGAGTGGGAAAGGGAGAAGCAGGCTTCCCGCGGAGCAGGGAGCCCAATGAGGGGCCCGATTCCAGGACCCTGGGATCATGACCTGAGCCAAAGGTAGACGCTTAACGACTGAGCCACCCAGGTGCCCCTAACCTGTTAGTTTATATTCAGTTCCTTTTATGGATGATTTCAAAGCCTAGGTTTTCTTCTGCATCAACTGGGATGATTATGTGGGGTTTTTTTTTCCCTTTATTCTTTTGATCTGGTATATTACACGGATGATTTTCCTTTGTTGAACCACTCTTGCATTTCTAAAATAAATCCTACTTGGTCATGATGTATAATCCTTTTAATATGCTGCCAGATTTGGTTTGCTGGTATTTTGTTGATGCTTTAAAGCACCTAGGCTTTTTTAAAGGGTTCACTATTAGGGTTATTAAGAACCCTTCACTCCTTGCCAAGTGAGTGTTAGTCCCCTAGTGAATGTATCTCTCAAGATGAGTATCAACGATATTTGTAACCACCTTGCAATCATAATATATTTTTTGAATTCAGACATAGTAAAAACTTATCTTTTCTGTATCTTCTTTTAGAAGGATAAACTTTGAGCATCAGTGATAAAGACAAAGATATTTCCAAAATTATTCTCACTGCAAATTCATAACAAGTGCGAAGTTGAAGGCTTCCAACATACAGTTAATGAACAAGAAGGAGGTTCTCAATCTGCTCTTGTTTACATCATGACCTCATAGGGATAATTGGGCATTTCTTATTCATTAGACTAAAATCGTGCTTGGCACATAGTAGGCCATTTTTTAAAAGATTTATTTATTTATTTATTTGACAGCAAGAGAGACAGTGAGAGAGGGAACACAAGCAGGGGGAGGGGGAGAGGGAGAAGCAGGCTTTCCGCGGAGCAGGGAACCCGATGCGGGGCTCGATCCCAGGACCCTGGGATCATGACCTGAGCTGAAGACAGACGCTTAACAACTGAGCCACCCAGGTGCCCCAGTACGCCATTTTGAAAAAAAGATTTTATTTATTTATTTGACAGAGAGACAGTGAGAGAGGGAACACAAGCAGGGGAAGTGGGAGAGGGAGAAGCAGGCTTCCTGCTGAGCGGGGAGCTCAATGTGGGACTCGATCCTAGGACCCTGGGATCATGACCCGAGCCGAAGGCAGATGCTTAACAACTGAGCCACCAGGCGCCCCATAGTAGGCCATTAATAAATATTTCTTTTGTTTTTTTTTTTTAAGATTTTATTTATTTATTTGAGAAGACAGAGCTCAAGCCAGGGGAGGGGCAGGCAGATACCCTGCTCAGTGGGGAGCCCGATCCCAGGACCCTGAGATCATGACCTGGGCCTAAGGCACTGAGCCACCCAGGCGCCCCCTAGCCATACTTTGCATACTTGGTTGTCAAGGGACATTTCTATCACTGCAGAAAGTTCTGACAGTGCTATGCATGATCTGACAGGTGGGGGAATTCAGTACTTCACAAATCAGAAACACAACAGCAGTAGAGCCGAAAGGTCTCACATTTATTACTGAACCAACCTACTGGTGCAGAGGCACAGTCACAGAGAAAAATCATTTCCATGATAAGACAAGTCTATGGCCGGGTAGGAAGGATGTTTACAGAATGATAGAACACATGATCTTCACGCAGCTTAATTAAATACGTGTGCCAATTAAGTGTGTCATTTCATGATGTGTGATGCCTTATAGACCCAGCTTAGTTCTTCTCCAGTGCCTCCTCTTGGAGTTGTACCTGATCTTATTACCAGTTTTCATCTGGATCCACTGGGGAATGGGACGATTCTGCTTTTGTTTCTTGGCCAGGAATCGCTTGATTCTGAAAGTCTTGTGAGAAGACATGGAGAGAAGCAGCCAGCCATGCAGAGCAGGATGGCGGCGAAAAAGAGAAAGCAATAAATATTTCTGATAAATGAATGAATGAATAAATAAATTCAGTCTTTGTATTTTGTAAAGAAGAAAAATTGCTTACTCCCAAGAATTATCCTAAGACAGTGAATAACATTTTATTTGTGATTTTTCCTTTTAAAAAAGCAATCAAAACATGAACTGTACATCACAGGACTCTCAGAAGCCTAAACAGGATGGCAAGGGAGTATAGAGCAGCTCCAATCCATACCCCACTCCATAGTTAACGAATGAGCCTCTGCCTGCTTAGAACACACACCTACCCCATCTCCTGCTGTGCTCCACACAAAAGTTGCCTTATAATTGCAGGTTTTACTGTATATAGTCCCTATGATGAAACCTGAAAAGGTGTTTTATTAATTCAGTTTTCAGGCAGACCCCAAAAAACCCATCGGGGGACACATTCTGGCTCATGCTTCGACAACAAGAATAAGCTTGAGAAAAGGAAGAGGAGAATTGAGAATTGCCAAGATTTATGACAGGTAAATATTTTCTTATTTTTTTTATTTTTATTTTTTTTAATATTTTCTTATTTTTAATCAGTTTCTTGGGCATATGGCATTAAATAGAATTGCCTCTCCTGAGAGGCTGTAATTATACCACTAGCAGATCCTACATGTCTGAATTTCCTTCTCAAAAGTATTCATTCCATTGGGAAGTCCCTACTATGGACTAGGTTCTAGGGATTCAGGGATTCTGTTGACAAATACACTTGGTCCCTGACCTTCCAAAGCTTACAGTGAAGCTAGATAGCAAAAGAATGATTCCAGCTGAAGTGTGGTCAGTGCAGGGAAAGTACAGAATATGGTAGAGATATATTCTTCTTTCTTCTGCCAGGTTTGTTTGTCTGTCTGTTTTAGGTTTCAGTTTAAACATCACTTCCACAGGGAACCTGTCCCTAACCCTTCAGTCTAAGCTGTACCCTATATTATAATTTATATTCTCTCATGGTATTTTACTTGTTTAATTAATAATTATAAACAATAAATTTTTACAAGAGACCTACTACACACCAGCTGTTCTAGGTTCTGGAGATAGAGCAGAGACTAAAACAGAAAGACAAGGCCCTGCTCTCATAGAGCTTATATTCCACTGGTAATGATTTATGTAATGTATGCCATCCAGCTAGACAGCAGATACCCCAAGGACAGGGACACGATTCTCTTGCTCACTGCTGTATTCCCAGTACCTGAGACATAATAGATGTATAATATTTGTGATTGACTGATTAGCCAACCCTGAGCAACAGGGCAGATTTTTAATAACTCTACCCTAGGGAGGAAAAATCAGCCAAAAAGAAATCACATGAGCTCTTAATCTGGCTTTTGCTATGATTCACAGTACTTATTATGGGCTGTCACTGAATAAATATTAAATAATCAGTTCTCCCATATATCTGATTGTTATTTAGACTATTTTGCTTTTAATGACCCATCCCTATAGACTATAATATACAAATGCTCTGTTTTATGGAGCTTTAGCAATCTCTAGAAATTTGCTATGACTATTCTTTGTTGAATTAAATAGTAAGATTGTTCCATCTTTTTACTAAAATTTCTTGGTCTGTATCTTAGACAGATTGCTGTGCTTAGAACTTTCCTAGGAGCGCCTGGGTGGCTCAGTTGGTTAAGCAAGCGTCTGACTCTTGGTTTCTGCTCAGGTCATGATCTCCGGGTGGGAAGATGGAGCTCCGCGTCAGGCTCCCTGCTCAGCAGGGACTCTGCTTCCCCTGTCCCTCTCCCTCTGCCCCTTCCCCCATTCACACACACTCTCTCTGTCTCTCTTAAATAAGTAAATACATAGATACATACATAAATAAAATACCTTCCTGAACATTTTCACTCTGAATTGCATCAGCTGATTACATGTCCATCTCCCTCACAACAGGGACTGAGTCTGATTCACAAATGTACCCAGCACCTAACATGGTACTTGGCACATAGTAGGAACTCAGTAACTGTTTGTTGAATTAACATATGAACTCCATCTACATGTTCAGTCATTTGCATATTTTATCAAATCCTCCATATTTGCAGGACCAAATAACTCCTGCAGTTCTTACCGTCTTGAGAGAATACTAGGCTTCTGCAGACTCAATAAAGACTAATTAAAGTTATCATAGAGGTTAGAAATGTCAAATTTCCATAAATTTGAATAAAAACAGCAAAACTAGATCAGAGTAAAAAATGTCAAAACTTAGTTTGCTGTGCAGCGTGTCCTCCCTTCTTTCTGGTCCCTAAAGATTTTCCACAAAGAATTTTTGACTTTAGAGAAAACTTTTTAGTTGAGAAGATGATGGTGCTAATAATGATAGCTAATACATATGGAGTGGCTGCTGCATGCTAGGCCTTTTGCACCAAGTGCTTTATATATATATATTTCATTGTTTATAACAACAACCCTAAGAGATGGAGGTCATTATCCCTATTTTCCGTATGAGCAAACCAAGGACTCAAGCAGTTAGGTAGACATTGCCCCTCTGCAGTCTATTTTAAACACAGAAGCCATGGGGTGCCTGGGTGGCTCAGTTGGTTAAGCGTCTGCCTTCGGCTCAGGTCATGATCCCAGGGTGCTGGGATCGAGCCCCGCATCGGGCTCCCTGCTCGGCGGGAAACCCGCTTCTCCTTCTCCCAGTCCCCCTGCTTGTGTTCCCTCTCTCGCTGTCTTTCTCTTTGTCAAATAAATAAATAAATAAATAAAATCTTAAAAAAACAAACCCCACAAACAAAAAACACACAGAAGCCAGAGTGATCCCTTGTAAAACTGAGTCAGATCATATCTATCTTCTGCTTAAAACTCTCCAATGGCTCCCCATCTTAACTCGCGTTAAATAAAAGCTCGCGTGTCTGTAGTGGTTTACTTAGCACTACATGTATGTCCCTACCCTGTTGCCTCTGCTCTCCTCACAGCATTGCAACTTCAGTGGGCACTTCGACGTTCCATAAACGTGCCAGGCACAGTTCTACCTTAGGGGCTTTGTACTTGCCTAGAATCATCTTTCCCCATGTAGCCCTCATTCTGGTTGTCAATCTCCCCTCCTCCAATCTTTGATCAAATATTACCTTCTCCACAATACCTGTCTAGCTCTCCCTATTTAAAATTGCAACTCCTCCCAGTTTCCACACTTCTACTGTCCCTCACCCAGCTCTGTTTTTTTCTTTCCCCATGACACTTATCATCTTCTAACATATTACATGATATATTTGTTATGTTCATTATTTATTATCTGTTTCTTCTTCTCCCCAAATATAAGTTCCACAAGGACAGGGATCTTTGTGTATTTTTTTCACTTCTAGATTTCAAGTGCCTACAACAAAGATTTAGCAGGTGCTAAATAAATACTTTCTTAGTGAATGAATGAAAGGCCTTGCCCAGATCACACAATCAATAAAAGATGGGACTGGGATTAGAATCTGTACTATCTGAATCTAGGGCCAACACTTTTAATCATTACACTATTTCTTAGTTTGTTAAAGATGCTCTATTTTGGACAGTCATAGCATCTGCTATAGCTACTCCCATGGCTTCAACTACTAACTTACACAGATGTAAGAGAAAAACATTTCTTGTTCAAAGAAAACACAAAATTCTCGAGGAATTGAGCAGAAAAGTTATCGGAAGAATTCCCAGATATGCAAGAGTGACTACAAAAATGAACTAAGCTCTTTCCCTAGAATGTCACTATAGGGGGCGCCTGGGTGGCTCAGTTGGTTAGGTGTCTGCTTTTGGCTCAGGTCATGATCCCACTATAGTTACAGCCTCCATTAGTAATTATAGCTGGCCCCCAGTCTGCATTTTTCTCTCTTTAAAACTTTTTTTAAAAGATTTTATTTATTTATTTGACAGAGAGAGCGAGAACAAGCAGGGAGAGCAGCAGGCAGAGGGAGAGGGAGAAGCAGGGTCTCCACTGAGCAGGGAGCCCGACTCGGGGCTCAATCCCAGGACCCTAGGATCATGACCTGAGCTGAAGGCAGTTGCTTAACCGAATGAGCCACCCAGGCGCCCCACTCTCTTTAAAACTTTTTTTTTTTTTTGGGTGCCTGGGTGGCTCAGTTGGTTGGGCGACTGCCTTCGGCTCAGGTCATGATCCTGGAGTCCCCGGATCGAGTCCCGCATCGGGCTCCCTGCTCGGCAGGGAGTCTGCTTCTCCCTCTGACCCTCTTCCCTCTCGTGCTCTCTATCTCTCATTCTCTCTCTCTCAAATAAATAAATAAAATCTTTAAAAAAAAAATAAATAAATAAAACTTTTTTTTTTAAAGATTTTATTTATTTATTTGTGAGAGAGAATGAGAAAGAGATAGAGAGCACATGAGAGGGGGGAGGGTCAGAGGGAGAAGCAGACTCCCTGCTGAGCAGGGAGCCCGATGTGGGACTCGGTCCCGGGACTCCAGGATCATGACCTGAGCCGAAGGCAGTCGCTTAACCAACTGAACCACTCAGGCGCCCTCTTTAAAACTTGTAAGTGAAGAAAAACCCCATTTATTTTATTCCACTTAGCATATCTGAGATTTGTGGACATTAAAAACAAAGAACTCTACTGAATTCAAAGAAAAAACAAATTTTTAATAATTACCAAGAACTGAAAAGGCACCCAAATGGTCAAGTTTCTGAAGTAATTGTTTTTTATTCTATTTCTAGAACCAAAAAAGCAAACAAATCCCAGTTCAATTTTGCAGATACCCTCATGGTCCTCCTCTTTCTCATCTCCTTAGCTTCCTGCCATTTGTAAGTGGCCAACTGAGTATTTTCCGTCAAAGCCAAAAGGTTATTTTCTGATTCGGCTCAGGCCTTCTTATCCAGCTCTAGTTTTCGTTTAGCAAGACTGGCCTTATTTATAGCCCGTTTAGTATCCTCGGGGGGGGGGGCTACTATTTCCTAAGGGAAGTAACCTAACCCATAGTGTGCTCAGAGTATAGTGCCTAATCTCCACCCCTCTAATAAAACAAAACAAACAAACAAAATCAAAAAACAAAAACCAGCTTTGAGAGGCAATAAAGTCTGGTGGTTAAGAACATGAGCTTTGGGGGCGCCTGGTTGGCTCAGTCGGTTAAGCATTTGCCTTCTGCTCAGATCGTGGTCCCAGGGTCCTGGGATCAAGTCCCGCTGGAATCAAGTCTGGCATCGGGCTCCTGGCTCAGTGGTAAGTCTGCTTCTCCCTCTGCCTGCCGCTCCCCCTACTTGTGCTCTCTCTCTCTCTCTCTGACAAAAAAATAAAATCTTTAAATCTTTAAATCTTTAAAAAAAAAAAGAACAACAACAGCATTGAGCTTTGGAGTCAAATAACTTAGTCTCTAATCCCGCATCTTCATTTACCAGCAATTGTGACCTTGGGCAAATTACTTCTCTCTGAACCTCGATCTTCTCATCTGTAAAATGGGGATAATAATACAGACCCAAGAGTTCTCATAAAGTTAAAATAAAATAATATAAAGGAGACCGACATGTAGTAATTAGTAAATACTTAATAAATAATGTTACTAAATAGTCACCATAACCTGGATATAATAACAGCACAAAATAGCAATAGCTCTTTCTCTCATGATCAGTGATTTTCAAATTTTTATTTCTTGTTTAGCCTTTTACTTGAGTTTTAGATATTCGTTTCCAACTGCTTGCAGAACTCCTCTACAGGACTATCACACAGGTACTTCAAACACAACATACCTAAACCTAACTTTATTCTTCTCTCTCTCTCTCTCTCTCTCTTTTTTTTTTTTTTAGATCTTATTCATTTGTTTGAAAAAGAGAGAGAGCACAAGTGTGGTGGGGGAGCAGAGGGAGAGGGAGAAGCAGACTCCCCACTGAGCAGGGAGGCTGATGCAGGCTTGATCCCAGGACCCCGAGATCATGACCTGAGCCAAAGGCAGACACTTAACCAACTGAGCCACCCAGATGCCCCTGTTCTTCTCTTTCTTATCTATAACACAAGTATCTATTCCCATGTTTTTGTTTATACTATTCCCTCTGCCTAGAATGCCCCCATTTCTGCCTCAAAAGCCTCTTCAAAATTATCTATGAGGACTTTCCTAATCAGCCTCACTGTATAATGTCTCCTTTTCTTTCTTTCTTTTTTAAAGATTTTATTTATTTATTTGACAGCAAGAGAGACAGCGAGAGAGGGAACACAAGCAGGGGGAGTGGGAGAGGGAGAAGCAGGCTTCCCGCCGAGCAGGGAGCCCGATGCGGGGCTCGATCCCAGGACCCTGGGATCATGACCTGAGCCGAAGGCAGACGCTTAACAACTGAGTCACCCAGGCGCCCCTAATGTCTCCTTTCTTTAGCGTTCTGTAACATAGATATTGACTTTATGAAATTTAGCCTACTTTGCATATTTGTCATACATCATACATAGTTCACCTGTTAGACTCCTTGAGAGTAGGGACTCAGTCCCATTTTTGTGAAATCTGTAGGGTTTAGTACATACTAACATATGATTTTCACAAGTTGAAAACATGACTTTCTTGCAAATATAAAATAAACATGCCAAAGACTTGATTCAACTCAAGTAATGAAGAAACTGATTCAAAGGATAATTTGAAAGAGATTTATGTAGTCAGTCAAAGGAATGCTGAAATAAATTTGCTAATAGATGAAAAACTGGTTAATATAAGGCAATAAATTGTAACATTTGAAGTTGTTTTTTCTATTAGCGGGAAATCAATTGTTTCTCTACACAATGAAATTCATTTCCAGTGCTATAGACTGGAATCATCTGCATCACCCTCAGACAAGAATCACCTGCATTGCTATCAGTTTTCCACAAATTAACCTCCACTCCTACAGTGTTGTAGAATAAAGTAAAAGGTAAAACCTAAGAGATCATATAATCACATACAAATATAAAATGTCAAAGATTTTATTTAAGTCATTAATTAATGCAGGAACTAATAAGATTTTATAACCAGATCAAAGAAAAAATCAAATTAACACACATATGGAGCCAAATAAGGAATGCTAAAATGAATCAGAAATTGATCAAAAACAGGTCAATATCCATAGGACAAGAATCAGTTGCATTCCTCCTCATACAATTTACATTTCTATGGACAAGAATAACTTGTATTGCTCATGGTTACCTACAACTTGCAGAGTTGTCAAGTAGCTCAAAGACAATGAAAAGCAGAGTCCTCACAGAATTGGGGAACCTGGAAGGATGTGCCGGGCAACCTATTTTTCCACTGAAGGTACTTGGCAATCTTTTAGTTCACTTCAGAGCCTTTCACAATTTTGCCCTGAATTGGTCTAGTCAGCAGAAATGTGCACCCCCCTTTTGACCCAGACCCCTGAAGGCCTGCCACACTGTTGCCTAAGAGTATACCGGAAGAACACCCAGTTATTCCTTCTGCCTATTTCCAAGTTTGGGGTCATTTTTCTTGACATTCAGAACCTTAGAAGTGGAAGTTGTTCAATAAGGGTTTGTGAGGGTTGGTAACCCTTGTAGGTAAATTCTATGGTCCACATTTAGCTGTAGCAACTCTGAAATGTCTCTGGAGACTCAGACTGATAGGGGTGTGATGCCTGTGACAGGAATATGGTATTTATAGAAATAGAGCTTTTTATAAACTTCTGTTCCCTTGTATTCTGTTAGCCCTGAGATGCCTGAAAATGAAGCCACCTTCGCAATAACTGCTGGAGGAATTGGGGATGCCAAAGAGTAGGTGGCGGATTGATGCAAATTGCTTCTTAGTGCTTATTAGGAGCTGAAGAAGTGGAAAAGCAGTCTCAAATTTCAGAACTTGAAGTAAGAGTTTGTTTTTTTCACATGTTGTTAGAGGAAAGTCAACAAAAGGAATTTAAAATCTTATATTTATCCTAAAAGTCCCTGATGTATAATCACTATACATTGTATGTCAATTCAGGAATATATATATATATTCACACGTATACATATGTATATACGTGTGTGTATATGAATGAAGCTATTGAAAACTAATTGGGAAGAGGTAACCTGATCCTATCACTTTAGCTGTCCAAAGTCAGCCACTAAACAGATAGAAAATCTAAGAGCTCAGAAATGCACCATTCTCCTATCATTTCCCCTTGAACACTTACAGAGGTGGACGCACTTCCAAAAGAGGGAGCCACTTAAGGAAGCCATTTACAGGACACACAAAAAAGCTTTTTTTATTTACAACATCAAACTGTACATTCACCTCTGTAGCAATGGAAAAGAAATATTAAATTAAACTAAATTTTAAACCATTTGACTTTTTGACAAGTTGAAATTACTTTTAAAAAATGTATTTCTGATACAAACATATTTTATGGGGTGATAAAGAGGAAGGTAACTAGGAAATTTGCAGTTTGGGGTAATCAATATAGCATGAGTTTTATATTTTAAGTTTGGGGTAGAGAATTCAAAATATTTTTTAAAATATATTAAAGTTAATTTACATGTAAAATTTCTGAACACTAAATTTAGAAATGTGCAAAAGAATATTGTTTTTTTCTAACTGTTAAACAAAATAAAATCTAGTTTTCAGAATTAATGTATGATAAAAGTATTTCAAAATTAAAATACTAATAATATTTATAATGACAATCTTTATAGACCTCAAAAAGATTTCATCTCTTACGTTGCATCACCTTGTATGAAAATGCAAGTATTGAAAGCACCATTTGTTACAAAAGATATTTGATTATCCATTCTCATTCACTCAGCAATGCTTAGAGCTAAAAAATATACAAGGAAAGTATGGTTCCTGCCCCCAAAGAATGGGTACACTAGTTAAGAGAAAATACTACTATTTATGAAAGAATGAAAGAGAGCAAATGATTATTTAGTTAATTTATCAGTAGTGTGGTCTTGGATTGTAGGATTCCAAAAATGGGAGAGGAAAGGTTAAGCTGTGGGACAGCATGTGCAAAGGCAGTGAAGCTGGGATTTGGAAACAGAGACCAGCCTGACAAGCAGAAATTGTTCAGTGTGGGGTACTGGGAAATAAGAGCTTTTTTTTCTTTTTACTTTTTTTATACCACAGAAGCTGCTTTCTGAAGAAGCAGAGATAAGTCATCTAGGAGCAGATTTTCTGTATTCAACAAAGTCACTTAAATGACTTCTTTTGGTATACAAATATAAATGCATACTTTTTGTCCTGGGGAAGGGAAGATTTTGTTACTTGATATAAACTGAGCAACAGCTAAAGATTCCCTGGTATGCAGAGCACTAGAGGGCAATGGACTAATTTATATAGGAGCCCGGAGCCTTTTGGTAGGAAAGGAAATATAAGTCCCAAGATTTGAGATTCAGAAAAAATTTCTGGATTAAACTGAGTAACCCCCTCACCAAAGAGAATTTACCAAGAGGTAGGCTGTAGGTTTGGAAACCAGCACCTAATCCAAGGGCCTACAGTTCCGTGGGGAGGCTAGTTATAATATGGCATGTAGTAAAGCCAGAAACCTCTCAGTCCAGCTACTCTATGTGTCCTGCTTTGGAGAACAGTAGCTGAGAACTGAGGACAGTGAACTAAGAAGCTGTAACCTTGGGGCCCAACTTTGGGACAGCACAGTAGATTGTGCGGTGCCCATGGAACCCTGCTAGGCCAGGGTTCAATTTGCTGGGGCTTTCCAGTCCTCCCTCTCCTCCTGACTATAGAAACAGCTCTCACTCCTTATTCTAAGAGGGACAGAAAAGCTAAAAAACGAGATTTTTTTTGGTCAGGACTCTTTTGGTTGCAAGCCACAGAAACTCAAAGTAGCAAATGGAAGATAGGAATTCATTGGCTCATGAAACCGAAAAGTCCAGAAGTAGTGCTGACTTTAGCCACAGATGGAGCCAAGATCTCAAACAGCATCATCAGGACCTGCCTCCTTTTCGGGTTCTGATCATTTCCATGCTGCTCTTGTTCACAGACAGGCTTTCCCCACATAGTAGCCAAGATGCTGCTTGAGGCTCTAGGCTTACATCCCACTAAGTTAGAAAACCCCCTAGAAAAAGCATAACTTTTTCCTCCATAGATTATTCATTCTGTGGAAAAAACCAAACAAACAAAGACTATTAAATGAGAACCGAGGTTATTTACTCAGAGTTTGCTATAGCAAGAGAGTCAGTGACCTCTATTTGCTTTTCGTAGAGACTCAAAGGCAGGCAGAGGAATGGGAAAGCTTTATAGTAGAAAAAGGAAAGGCTTTAGATGTGTTCTGATTGGAAGTTGTTGGCATGGGGAAGCTGGAGGATTAATCTGTTGGAGACGTAGAAAATGGATAAAGGAAATAACACTGGCATCAGGGAGACATTTTAGGAAACAGTTACAAAAATTAAACTGAGATGATAAATACTGAGACTGGAGTAGCAGTGAAATAGACATTTCAAGAAGGTGGTTAAGAATTGGTGTGAGATTGAGGGGCGCCTGGGTGGCTCAGTCGTAAACCGTCTGCCTTCGGCTCAGGTCATGATCCCAGAGTCCTGGGATCGAGCCCCGCATCGGGCTCCCTGCTCGGTGGGAAGCCTGCTTCTCCCTCTCCCACTCCCCTCCTTGTGTTCCCTCTCTCACTGTGTCTCTCTCTGTCAAATAAATAAATAAAATATATTTAAAAAAAAAAAAAGAATTGGTGTGAAATTGAATAAAAACAGAAGAAGAGCCACAGGTGACTATTGACAAAGTTCTCTAACCTGTGAAAGGAGATTATATTTGTATCATGATCAGGAATGAGGAAACGGTTAATAGAGATTAAGGCTTTTACCTGGGAAGGTTTGTGTATTAGTTTGCTAGGACTGCCATAACCAAATACCATAAACTGGATGGCTTAAACAACAGAATTTTATTGTCTCACAGTTCTGGAGGCTATAAGTCCAAGGTCAAGGTTGGTTCCTTCTGAGGTCCATGAGGGAGAATCTGTTCCCTGCCTCTTCCGTAGCTTCTGCTGGTTTTCTGGTGACCTTCAGCATTCCTTGGCTTGTAGAAGAATCACCCCATCTCTGCCTTCATCTTCACATGACATTCTTACTATGTGTATGTCTTTGTGTTCAAATTTCCCCCTTTTATAAGGATACCAGTCATGTTGGATTAGATGTCCACCTTACTCTAGTGTGACCTCAATTTAACTAATTACATCTATAATGACCTTATTCCAAAATAAGGTCACATTCTGAGGTGTTAGGGGTTAGGACTTCAATGTGTGAATTTTAGTGGGGACAGGGACCCATAGCAGTCAGTAAGAATCAGGTAAAGTCAAGGGTCAAACACTGTTGGCCCATAACCTCCTCAGGAGCTTCCCAGGGGTAATCTGAAATCAGTCCCCATGGGTGGAGGGCAGGGAGAGCCTGAAGAAAGAGGCAGACCCCTCTCTTGGTGGGTGGCCATTTTAATAAGCAAAGGGAACTTACGTATGAGGCTTGTCTCAGGCAGCAGCAAGACAAGTTTGGATCCGTGCACCCGCCCACCAAATCTTAAAAGTTTATGGAGAGACCTTAACTGGGTTCAGTCACATTGAGAAAACCAAGAACACCATACAGGTGTTCTCAACACCACACTATTTCAAGTCTATCCTTAGAAAAATGGGAAGGGCGCCTGGGTGGCTCAGCTGGTTAAGCGACTGCCTTCGGCTCAGGTCATGATCCTGGAGTCCTGGGATCGAGTCCCACATTGGGCTCCCTGCTCAGCAGGGAGTCTGCTTCTCCCTCTGACCCTCTTCCCTCTCTTGCTCTCAGTCTCTCATTCTCTCTCTCTCAAATAAATAAATAAAATCTTTAAAAAAAAAATAAGAGTTTGGGTGCCTGGGTGGCTCAGTTGGTTAAGTGACTGCCTTCAGCTCAGGTCATGATCCTGGAGTCCCAGGATCGAGTCCCCCCTCGGGCTCCCTGCTCAGCGGGGAGTCTGCTTCTCCCTCTGACCCTCTTCCCTCTCGTGTTCTCTGTCTCTCATTCTCTCTCTCTCAAATAAATAAAATCTTAAAAAAAAAAAGAAAAATGGGAAAGACAAGCGAAACCCATACTCCAAGGATGGGGGAGGGGGTAAGGAGCTCCAATTGCCTGAGTCTGGCTCACAGGTCAACAGGCATTCATGTCTTCTCAATGACCTCCCCTAACAAACACCAGGATGCACAAGACACAATCTGTACTCAATACAGGCTACAGTTAGAAACATGTAAGTCAAGATCTAGGGAAACCTAGTATCTACTTAGAAAATGAAGAGGGTGAAATAGAATATTTCTACCATTCCTTTCTAACTTTCCTGTTCAATCATTCCTTAAACAGAAAAGAAAAAAACAAGGATAGAAAGCCCAATTAGAATAGGGTGGCCAAGCCAAAAATAGGGAATACGATAGACTAAACACCTGAGAAGGGATACCTTTTACGGCGAAAAGAGGGATTGGGATCTTGGACACCAAGCTGCACCCGGTCAAGTCTTCTTCACCTGACTCTGGCTTGGATATAGTAAATGTTTATAATTTTTTGGTTGTACAGTTTCCATTTTTCTATTATAATAACATCCTGGTTTTCTTTTAAAGAGTTCTCTCTCCCCAATTCATGTAGTCTATCCTGAGACATTGGATACTGAGTGATAGTTGCAAGGTTTGAAACATGGGTTAGAAGCCACTCATTTGTACAGTGACAGCAGGGTGGCGGAGCCAGCAGCAGTGGCGGTGACCTGGCAGTCTGTTCCTGCTACTAGACTGCAGGTTTCTGACTCCTCAACTGCAGTGTTGTTCAAACTCCTGTCCATCCCCAGGGTGGTTTTCCAGCCTCCTGCCA